CTAAGTCATTTAGGCCTTAAAATGAGCAATGACTTGTCATTTTTCATATGGGTCATTTTGGCCACTTCAAGTCATTTACTATTACTGGCTCAAGCCTATATTGTTGCTGATAGAAGACATCAGATTTTGAAATTTTATGTACATGTTCCCTACCTTGGGGGGGGGGGGGGGGTTTTGGGAGAAGTTTAAATGTAAAAAAAAGTTTTTTATAATAAAAGAACTCACCACCGCTACTTTTCGTGGGAACTGAATAATCAAATTTGATAAAAACAAGTTTCAATATTCATATTTCACAGAAGCATAATCTAAAAAGAAATGTCCGCCCGCCTGTCTCAAAACTACTTTTATCTTCATAACACTTTTCGTTAACATCAGCATCACACTTCAAATCACAACTGCTAAAATCCTAAAAGACTTTGGTAATCTCATAATAACAATAAACCTAGTCTTCACATTTGGTACCTTACTAAAGGATAAAGATTCATCCGCTAGTCCAACTCAACAACATTATAGTTACAACCTTAAAACATCGAATATTAGGGAAACATCATATCTACAATGACCACTTATCATTCTACAACGAATGCCTCTAATTTCACGACTAAACCTTCTTCGATTAGTGATGATTGACGAAATTTTATTACTTTTTTCAATAAAGTTTTTTTCACAATACATACATAACAACGTAACATTACATACTGATTAGTGGATAACCGGTGGTTTTATTCGACTGATCGGTCAGTTTTTCGATATTGGGAATTGTCATAACTAGTGTTGTCATCATAGCTTTGGACATATTTATCCAATAAATAAAGTTAGGATTTTATTTTTTATAGCGATGTATCGCTACCCTCCTGAGACTTATTTGTCGCGCCGCGTGATGTCGGGTTTCAATGTTCAAACCCCGATTGTGATTAGTAATCTATTGGTAATCTATATTACTAATCGTAGGCGGGCTTAAATATTGAAACCCCGACATCACGCGGCGCGACATTTAAGATTCGGGATTTTGATTTTCGGAATTTTGATT